CAGAAATAACAGAGAAAGAACATTTTAGACATAAGAGAAAATGCACACCACTAAATCTAAAAATCTAAAAATCTAAATCTAAAAATCTAAAATCTAAATCTAAAAATCTAAAAATACTTGTATGATAAAAATGTTTGAGAAGGCAAAAACTTTAGGGAAATGTAAAACCAACAATGAGAGTATGAGCAGTTATCAAGACTTGATTGTAAAATATCCCCATAAGGTATTTTACTGCTGAGTTTGATTACATCATCATAGAAAAGGATACTCTGTATTTTATAACAACTATTCAAGACACTCCAATCAGTGTCATTCTAGCAGAATACTGCTACCCAAATCTGATAAAGAAAGCCCCAAATAGGCCTAGTCACTTAAGAATGTAGGCCCACAAACCCTGAAACCCAACAGACATAGGCAATGCGGGGCACATGTCTACTCTTGAAACATCCTTTTCTTGGAATTGCCGCACCTCTTTCTCTGCGATGAGGCACACAGGGCTAAGCGGCAGATCATTACACTATTTGTCTGAGCTCATCCTTTCTTTCCTACAGTGAGCTACATATCAAGACTGAGCCCTACAATGAATTAGATTATCTCCCTTGAAATCATTCTAGTGAGGCATGCACAGTGACTCAGAATTTGAGGAAAAAAGGGACTTACCACTGGGATCTAGAAAGCTCTTTCTGTATAGTCCTCGAACTTTGGTTGTTCATTGCTAATCCCAGTGTTGTCCACAAATCCATGCTTGCACCTTTTCTTCCCTAAATCATGGTGGGCTAACCTCGCTGGACTCTTTCCCAGGCTTCTGTGCCAACACTCTTTTGGGTTCAAACAATGGCAGCCACTGGTAGAAGAATGGAGAGGAGCATGGTGATGAAAACACACTAGTCCTCCCCACACATGCCCCACTGCTGCCTGGAGTGATATTTTTGACAGTACTGCATCTCTTCCATGGCTCCAGCTCCTTCCCTGAGTGCTTCTGACTTTGGTGAACTCTGATCACTGATATCTGGTCACACCACTCACTCCCATTATATTTCAAACCAACAGGATGCTAATAGTCTCTTGCTAGTAATACTCAGGTACCTCAGCACCCATGGTTTAGTTTTTCACCTTTCCCATCACCTCTGTAACTAATTTTTTTCACTGATGCATCTACTCAGATTCTGAAAGCAACAGATAAAAATGGATGCAAGATTTTGGAAACTTCTAGAATAATGATGTCTTCCAAATGCTATAAGTCTTTTATTATGGATCTTAAGAGATTATCTTATAAAAATTTCATTAGGTTGTGTTTTTTTCTCACATATCTATCACTTCATTTTGACAGTTTTTGTCAGATTACTTATGATAAAGTCCCCAAGTACATCCGCTCTAGACCCAGCAGATAATTCTCTCTTTAAAAACATTAACAGCCTGCTTACAATAAAAAAGTAATGCATTAAATGAGATGTGTATAAAAGCTTGGAGTACATTAAATGATAAGCAGACAGAAGAAAAGATGAATAGGAAGAAGAGAGCTTTCTAATCTTCTGAGCAATGCATCTGAAACATTTGGGCCTAATGTTACCAAAAGTAGTTCTCACATTTCCTGATAATTTTTGTTTGTTTGTTCTTAAGATGGGCCTATCTAAAATGATGAACACTATTTATGGATTTCTATTCTTGAATGCCTATTACAAGCTCCATGCCTTAACTATGATGTTAAGTTAGAAGCACAAGACTCTAAGCCAGGCAGGGTAGGCATTCCTGTAATCCCAGGACTGAGAGGCTGAGGCAGGAGGATCATTTCAAATTTGAGGCCTGTCTGGACTATATCATGAATTCAAGGCCAGCCTGAATTACAGTGTGAGAGTGAGACTCTGTCTCAAAAAAGAAAAATTATACACTCCATCCTCAATTAATATAAGGAAATAAGGACATGTATTTGACACATGCTAGGCTAGTCTTGCCCTTGGGGAATCAAAGTGATTCAGGTGGCATCCAACTAGGAAAATGAAACCACTTTATTTATTTAGGACAAGCACAGGTTCATTTCTGGAATGCCATTCTTTTTTGGCAGATGTTTTCATAATTTCTTGGTATTCCTTTGGGCCAACTTGAAATATCAGCCTCTCTCAGTAGTTGCCCTTCACTCGCCCTGTGCCATTTTTCCTGTTCAAAATGACCAGCATACTGTGTGTGTGTGTGTGTGCATGTGGGTGTGCGTGTGCATGTGTGTGTGCGTGTGTGTGTTACTAGATACTGAACCCGAGGTCTCATGCATGCTGAGAAGTTGCTCTACCACTGTGCTACATCTCCATCCTTCTATTAAACTTGAAATTGAGACAGAGTCTAGCTAAACCGCCCAGGTTGTTCTCCAACTTGCCATCCTCTTGCCTCAGCCTTCAAAGTATCTGAGGTTTCAGCTGGGTGACATCTAATTGCTTTGATATTCCCTCTGTTACCAGAATGACCACTACGTCACAGTAAATACTTCTGCTACTACTATGACTAATAATTTCTATTGGAGAGATGAACTCGAGCAGCAGTTTACTCAGTGGGTAACATATATTCTCTTTTAGTCTTCAACCCCTCTACAGTAAGCACTAATATTTCCATCTTACAAATTAGAAAACACAGTTGTAAAACAGGCTAAATCTAGCTCAAAGCTATGACATCCTTATTGCCCTCTGCTGTTTCCCACACCTATATTCACTTAGATACATTATTATGTATTTATTTGCTCATTTACGTTTTTACCTGGTTACTTTTGCCTCATTTTTTGCCATGCTCCCTTTGTTCTGCTTTAGTGACACTGATCTATTGACCTCCCCTGGAATATTCTCATTTCTGAGCTTTTCCTCATGTTATTTCCACCTTCTGAATTGTTCTGTCCCCTTATATCTGCGTAGCTCATTCCTCTGCAAAGTGTCTTCTCAGTGATGTTGTGTAATATACTCCAGTAATCTTACCTTCCCCGTCATCCCTGTTACCTCGCTCTGGCTTATTCTTCATAATGGTTCCCTCAGCCCAGTTGATACTACTGGATTTAGTCATTACTCCAAAAGATACTGATCACTTTTTACATAGTAGGAACTATGTTAGACACTAAACATAGAATCATATAGAAACATCAAGGTCCTGCTTTCATGGAGCTTAAACCTCTTATGCAATAAAACATAGTGTGAGAAGTATTATAATAAAAGTAAGGTCACCAAAGCTGAGTGAAAAGACAGAGTGGAACCTGAATCCCCAAATGGTACGAAGCAGCAGTAAAGGATTCAAATGCAAATAGCTTATTCAGTTGATGATCCTTAAAAACATGAACATGAAAGTAGAAAATGACACTGATAGGAAAAGCAAGCCAAGAAAGGGTTAGTATTGAACAAGGTATCACAGTGAGCAAATACAGCTTTAACTCCTAAAAAGCACCAGAAGATGAAGACTTCATCTTAGAGCTATTTCACTAGTGGGAAGAGGGGCTGGAGTAACTATGCACCATTATGTTGGGGATTTGTTGAGGGCAATTTCCAGTGGCAGGTGAGGAAAAGGTTAATTCCTGGGCATTCCAAGCCTGTTCCACTTGGGAGCTAAGTGGGTTCTGAGAGTAAAAGAGAGCCTTCAGGCGAAGAGTTGCAGGTGCTTGCAGTTAGAAGCCCTTGATTTGGTCATGCATGAAAATGGTGAGTGCCAGAATATATGGGTGGGGTGTTAACTACATCTGCTGCAGAGTCTGCAAATTGAAGACATACACCACTGGTGTGACAGTAAAATGGCACAGCTGCTTTGGAAAACAGTTGGACATTATCTAGTAAAGTTGAAGATATTTATACACATGACCCTGAAATTCTACTGTCCTTTATATAACCAAGACAAGCTAGCTTGTGTGAAGCAGAATAAATGTTAAAAAGAATAGTAGCATTGAGCACATGAATGTAATCATCCCAGACTAGGAAAAAAATGCAAAAATCCACCATCAGTGGAATGGGGAAGTAAGTTGCAATATATTCATAGAACAAACTGAAAATAATGAAGAGGATCAACGCAAGAGTGTGGAATAGATATCACTTCATGAAACATAGCACAAGGAAGGGAAAAACCCTTAGAATCTTGAATTTGTAACCTAATTGTGTCTGTCAGAGTACTACATTGTAAATAAGAATCAGTAGTTATGATAAAGTGTCACTTGAGATGATAGGGTGTTCTTACTAATGAGAAATCAACCATCTAATCAAAGTCATTGGAACCAGTGAAGACAGATGGGATATTGCAGAAAACCCACAATCTGAGTTAAAAGAAACCCTGAAATATTTTCCTTTGGCAAAAAGTGGATAAAAAAATGGTATTATGGGAAGGAGGGAAAGTCAATTCTGAATGGCACAAATAATGAAAAATAATTTTTTCTCAAACATGTAGATCATTCCATAATTCCAATATTACCCCAATAGTTCTAGATTATACAATAATAAACTCATTGCAATAATTGTTATCCAAAAAATAATTATCCAATGAACAATTATTTATCAGACATGTAGAGTATTCCATTTCTCAAATCGAATAGTCACATTAGATGGATTATTTTGTTTGCTCAAAAAAAAACATCACTACAGAAACTCACGTATCTTCTAAGGAAAAATGAAAGATCACTTCAATGGAAATAAAAATACTTTTCAAAACATTTTATTGTAAATAAGTTTTGACCCACACTTTGTCATTGGTAGGTTATAATGAGATTGCAGTCAGATATTCATCTACTCATTTAATCTCAAGCATGAAAGCATTTTATGTTTAGAGAAAGAAGCCTTTCCTGAATACATAAAGGGGTGTTTTTCCCCCCAAAGAAATCATGGTAGAATGGAAAGATTTAATTACTAGACATTTCATGAAATCGCCATGCATCTGCTTCTGTAGTAAGTCACCAGCCAAATTCTGACAGTGAGAGATTTATTTCATTTCCTAAAATCAATAGAGTTTTAAATACCCAGAGGAAACCTCTGTTCTCTAGTGATGGTACTTACAATCTTTTATAACTTTGTATTCTCTCTTCACAGCAAATCATTTACGTGGTTGTAGTCAAAACACATTGTTGTGAACACTGGTGTACCTCAGTGGCGGACTGCTTGTCTGGCATGGGTTTGATCCCCTGGGGAAAAAAAAAGTTGTGTTTCCCTCATTAAAATGATAATAAATTACATTATAAATAGAACATATCTCAGTTAATTTAATAAACCTTATATTATATATCCCCCAAGTGATAGGGAAACATTTTTATAAATGCACTAGGGTTTTATTGACATATGATAAAACTCTATGCATAAAAGCATATAATTTGGCACATTTTAATGTATCTATACATTTGTTTAACCATCACCACAATCCCTCTCCTCCCAAAATTGCATCAAATCCATCTTTTTTTCTCTACTCTAGTTCTCAAATGATCACTATTTTAAAATTTTGTAGAATTTCATACAAATGGGCTCATAAAAATGTACCCTTTCATCAGGCTACTTTCATTCAACATAAGATGCTAAGATTCATTGAAATGGTTTTATGTATCACTATTTTGTTCCTTTTGCTGAATAATATGCTATTCTAGATTAATATCTCAAAAATCCTGAGTTTAAAAAAATTATCTCATAAAGCACTAGGTTAATGAAAGCCTACTCCTGAAAACTTAAATCTCACATTTCTGATTAAGACATTTTTATTCAGAGAAAAAAATTAAAAATTTAAAAAGACAAGTGCCAGGCATATAATAGATATTCAATAAATACTGAATGAGTAAGATTATTCTATCAGAACAGCATTCATATTAAGATCATTAACATGCATCCTTTAGACCTTTTGAAAATCTGAAAGATCTCCAGATTTGTATGCCCGACTCATTTATCTCTTTCATTAGTAAGGATTTGGCTTTACTAGAGAGAACTGATTTAACAGCGGCTAGGTAACTCAATTTAATCTAACCCCAATAAAATGACAGCAATGCCATTTATTGCTGTAGGTTGCTTTGTCAATTCCATTAATAAATATTCTTCACCTATAATCTATCTATAAAGTTCAGTTAAACTCCATTCAGTTCCAAGAGAAAGAAAAAAAAAAAAAAAAACTAGAATCTCCTGAGAAACACCACTCTCCCAAGAACTTTACATGCATTATGTTATGAAGAAAGAACCCTGATCCCTTCTCATCAATTTGAGAGTGAAAAATGACTTACTTAGTTCATAAAATGCCCATTTCTATGAAATTACTAATGAATATGCATCTTCTAAAATATATGATCACTATCATGATTAGCTAGAGTACTTGTTATATATCACTGTATAATCGCATTCTCACAAGTTCCACAACTTAAAACAACTAAATACTTAGCTTCTCAATTTCCACTGGTTAGAAACCCTTGGGTCTCCTGTAAGGTTAGTCTAGGTGGTGGCTGGGGCTACATCCCCATCTGAGGTCCCACTGCTTTTAGGCACACACAGTGAGTGGCAGAATTCAGCTGTGGGCTATCTAGAGCTCCTGGCCAGTAACTTCCCCCAGTTCCTTGACATGTGGCTTCTCCAGTTCTGTAACAGCTTACACTCCATCAAGCCCTGCAAAAGAGGGAGTCAGCAGCTAGAGTCAACTAGCAAGATGGAACATTATCCAACATAAGGTACAGAGCCGTAGAAGAGATGCACCCCCACTTTGGCTGTGTTGTCTTAGGAGCAGGTCACAGCTCCCTCCCACTCAGGGGGAGAGAGTTGCATATTGACAGTGAGCATCAAGAATTGGGTTAATCAGGGCCATCTTTGGGTCTGTTCACCACACTCAATGTGTGTGGCATCTCGCCAGGCAGATAGTGCCTCACTGAAAAGAGAGAAGGAATCCATTCAACGCGACTTGCTTTGATGAATCATGTATTTATTTATTTATTTATTTATTTAAAGAGAAAAGAACAAAATTTCAAAACAAGGTAAGAGAAGGGTAACAATGGTTACTATGAACCATTTAGAGGCAGTGTGGCCCTCAAGGAGGTCTTTCTCAAAGAATAAGTCTTTTCCGGCATGATGGTAAATGCCTACCATCCCAGTGCTCTAGAAGACTGAGGTAAGACAACCCCAATTTCGAGCTCAGGTTTGGAGAATTGAAGGAATTAGAGAGACTTTGTCTCAAAATTAAAAAGGGGGTAGGGTGGGAGTGCTGGGGATATAGTTCAGGGCAAAGACCCTGGGTTCCATTCCCAGTTCTGAAAAATTAATTAATAAATTAACTAACGAGTCCTCACAGGATCCCCGAGGGCTGAAGGACTGACAGCAGCATTCTGTATAGTTGTGAGGTGCTCTGAGGTACAGCAGCATTGCATTGATTCTCATCATAATTATGTACTGTAAATAAGGAAATAATTATTAGTCCTCATTTTCATACGGGAAAACAGGGCATCAAGAGGATAAAGTGACCTCCTCAGGGTCAGACAGTGCTGGTGCCTCTGTCTGGGCTTGCCCTTGACAGAGGGACACCTCCAGCCACAGGCCTCAACTCCTCCCCAAGGGAGCCTGCTCCTACCACCCTTCTGGGCCAGGGCTCGAAGACCCAGCTCTGTTTCCTTAAAATACACCAGCAGGAGAGGAATAACCAAATGAAAGCACAAGCACACTTCTCAGCTGTTCAGATATGTGACTGAGAAAGTATATGTTTTCCAATTTAGAGAAACCAACCATAGCAATAGCCCCGCGCTTTCTTATCTGCTGGGGTTTGTTATCATTTTTATGATGTCATAAAAGTAAAATAGACACAGAAAATGTAAATTAGGTCTAAACATTTTCAGACTGGCAGAGTTCTGCAAACCCAGGTGACCCTATGCACAGGATATTCCCTGTCTCCTGGGTAAGACGTGCAGGGCTCTTTGCATTGTAGTCATTTATTCACCCACTCATCCACGTGTTCATTTCCTCAGGTGTATCGGGTATTTTAATAATTTCTAACTATTCAACATGACCCCTAACATACAATGTGTTATAGCTACGGGCAGTGTTCACTGTTTTCTAGAGGAGAGGATTTCTCATCTGTAAGACCGGAATGACACCTATCTATCAGAGAAACTACAGTGAATTAATAGATATGAGGTACAGAGCAGTTTCTAAATACTATAGCAACAAAATAATTCTGAATTGATTTTTTATTTCCTTTTAAAAATCAAACAAGAAATAAATTTTTGATAATTGCACAGTTATTCTGTACTAGCTCAGTCTAATTTTTAAATGGTGAGCCTAGTTTATGCTACCCTGGATAGTTATTAGTGGCTTTTCTTTACAAACTGCCTTGATTTCAATGGTAAATGCCACCAGTAAGAAGAAATAAGGGAGAGATATTTTTGCAAATGTGTTCTACACTTCAGTTATGTTAGCTCTAAGTGGGGTAGTTTGTGGGAAATCAGTACCCAAGCAGTAGAAAGGTATATTTTCTAATAACTGGTCATTTCTCCAAGTGAGACAAATCAGTGCCCTCTGGGAATTTCTCCCTGACTTCTGGGAAAGGATGATCCATGGGACAAGGGCAGATGAGACAAAGCAAGGAATTTTGGAAAGGACATCTGTTGGGAGAAAACAGTATAAACACTTCTAAAATACTTCACAGCCAGGTGTAGCAATTTAGACCTGTAATCCCAACATAGAGGGAGACTGAGACAGGAGGATCACAAGTTTGAGTCCAATCTGGGCAATTTAGTGACTTTGCAAGACCCTGTCTTTAAATCCACAATAAGAAAAGGTACTACTCTAACATAAAGAAAGATAAACATGAGTCATTGGTAGGAAAATGGATGTAATTTGAGACCATCACGGTAAGTGAAATAAATCAGGCACAGAAATTTCTCTTACATGAAAAAACCCAAGTTATAAATAAAGAGCAAAGTAAAAGGTTGGAAGTGGGGAGATGGTTCTTTCTCAAATGGGATGGGGATTGAAAGATGGGTGGAGGGGAAGAAGAGGGGAAAATAAAACGAACAAAAGAATCATGATACTACGTTGTGTATGTGTCCCATCTCCAATAAGGAGTTCAAACCTGTGTGCTGCAGATACATACTAATCAAAAAAAAAGTTTTTAAAAGGACTGACGATGTAGCCCAGTGTAAAAGTCCTGAGTTCAGTCCCCAGTGAGGGGAGAAGGGAGGCAATCTTTCATCTTACAGCTTACTTTTTATCATCCACATAAATAACAGTTCTAGGGCCACTATTAGTAATGACTGTCTCATACCCAGCTATAAAAGGGATGTCAAATAAAGCCTAATGGGCCCTTATGTTGTATTCTTTTGGCATGTGCTTCAATAATTTTGAAGTTTACACCCCTAAATTGATAAGATTACCAAAGGCTCTTGCAATAAGGACAAAAGCAATTATACTTGGGTTTACAGGGGCAAATGCCAAATTGTAGACAAGAAATGGAGCAGTAATCCATACAAGAATGAAACATTTAGGCCAAAGGTTGAGTTTTCATCTCAACAAGAAAGCTAGGACATCATCTATTCACTTTGGATTGTACAAAATAACAATCACAGGACACAGAAACCCAGGCACTTACTCAATGCATTGCCTGCCTTAATCAAAACGGATCTATCTTGGGGAAACGCTGTGAACTGGATTCTGGGTGGGTAGAAGACACACAATCTCGGGGCTTAGTTCTCTTTCCCTGCCTTGTCCCCTCCTTTCTCTTTCTCCTTTTCCTTTACTTTCTTCCCTTTTTTTTTTTTTTTCCTTTCCGTTCCTTTATTGTCTTAAAGAAGGGTCCAACCTCAGGATCCTAGAGGACCCAGAGAAGCTGTACACCTATTAATTGATAGCACAACCTGAAGCAAGTCCCTAACTGGGGCAGCCTCATCACATTGAGCATCTTTGAGGGAATCTTTAACACCTTTCTCTACTGAGAAGGATTCTGGATTAATAACATTCTATTATTTTAAGGAGTGTGTAAAGGCTGAGCAGATGGGTGATAGGAGAATCCGTTGATGGTCACTTGTTCCCTAGCTAAAAGTATCCCACCAGTTAAGTAAGCCTTCTTTCTCCTTTGTGACGAAGATAAAGTTTATACAAACTTGAGTGAAACTAAAAGCACAACAGAAACCTCACGGTGAAACCTCCAAAGTGGCATTCGACGGCTCTGTGATGTGCGCCCCAGGACCAGAAGGTTTTAGACAACAAGCAAGGGACTGTTGATTGCACAGGGAAGGCAGCATTTGAATACCAGACAACTTCCAATTAGAGCAACTTAATTAGGTAAATCTTGCAGGCCTGATTGGTCATCTACTTGAGATCAACCACTTGGGATGACAAGTTTGTGATTTCTGGACATTTAGGGAATTGTAAAAGAAATATGTGATGTTTTCTATGTAATATTACCGCTAAGATGGGTGGAATAATTTTCCAAATTTATAGATGAGCCAAGTAGTATTCAAACAGTCAAAATAAGTTGCCTACAATCAGATAGCTCATAAATGAGAGAGACAGAATTTGAGCCTAGTTTCAAAGTGGGTGCCTTTCCCCACAACAGTGTTCTGCCCTCCATCTGCTCCATGCAGAGTCAGTGGTGGGCAATGCATTGTGTACTTCCCAGGCTTGCTGACGGAATGCTGCCGGTTTGCTTTTTGCTTCTGATTATACTTCTTGGATTCTGGAAACAGACCCTTTGAAACTGGATTCCTAGGCACGTAGTAGATATATGAATGAAGAGTGCCTATGTTTGAGTACTGAGAAAGAGGGTTGAATATGAAATTTTAAGTAACATTTGTGATGGTGTTTCATTCAGTTGTGTTACCAGTGGAAGATCATTGAGTGCTTACTATAGACATACAAAGAGAGAAGAATTAAAAAAGTCTGAGTATAAACAGTCTTTACTTTGAGATCCCTTGATATACGTAGTCAGTGCCTTTTCTGAGTCTCTGTGTCTGTCTCTCTGTCTGTCTCTGTCTCTCTCTCTCTCTCTCTCTCTCTCTCTCTCTCTCTCTCTCTCTCTCTGAGACAGGGTTTCACTATGTACTGCAGGTTGGCCTTGAATTTGCAGAGATCCCCCTGCCTCAGCTGCCTGAGTGCTAGGATTATAGCCATGTGCTACCAGGCCTGACCCTTTTCCCAACTTTTTAAAAATAATCTTTCAGCTATATTTTGAACATACTGGTAGAAGGACTTGAAAAGTTGATGCCCAATTCTTAGTAGATCAGAAAAAAGATCTCTAAAATGTGTGGCCATTTATAGTCAATATAGGCATTGACTATGCCTATATAATTTGCTTTTTAATTCTTCATTTTCTTGAGTTTTGATCCCAATCTCAGGAAGGAACAAATGTTTAATTATCTCAGATGTAAAATTCCACCAAGCTGGAGACTTTCAAAGTGCCAGTTCTTCGTGGTTTCTATCCACAACTTAACACAATTAGTATACTTGAAAAGACTCACAGACTCTTGAGTTTTAATCAATTTGGGCTGAGTTTCAAGGTCTTGGTGCAGCCTGATGTCGGGCTCCTCTAGCCTAGTCTCAGGTCAGATTACAAAGCTTCAAAATGCTCCAGTTCCTAAATTCCTCCCCCCACCCCACGCAAATAGCTTGGGAAAAGCATCAGGTCTGTAGAGAAGATTACATTCCTCCCACAGAGAACCAGCTCCTCTGAGCCACCAGGAATTTACAAGGGAAGAGGGCAGGAATTCTGCGGCAAGGAGAATTTACATAGCCCCTATAGGTTAACATACTGACTTTAGCCTTTTGGTCAGATGCAGAATGAAGCAGGTACTCCAATCTACACCGTGCAACTAAGCTAAATTTTCATTCTATGAAGGCAATAACAAATTCAATTAGAAACTCTAAGAGTTCCCATGCATCAATCAGATTGTGAACAATTAGTTGTAATTGGTACCTTTCTCTGGAGAGATACATTCTTTACCTGCAGTCAAGGGCTACTGGGGAGGTGTAAAATTCTTTCTTGACTTTGAAAACATCAAAGCAATTCCTTCTAATCTGAGCTTTTCCGCCAGTCCCAAATTGCAAGCAACAACTTTAAAATGAATTTTTTTTAAAAACTGAGAAGTATTTAAATAAGAAATGGAATTCCATATTTTCTAAGACATATTTTCTAAAGACAACAGTTGATGATGCTGAATAAGAAATCCATACATACTTTACCTGTAGAGAGTAATTTCCAAGTGCTTAATGATCCCCAAGAAATATTAGATTTGCAACCTGGACTGCAATGATGATTTTTGTAGGCATTTCTAAAACAGAGACCATGGCAATAGCCATGTCAGCACAGCAGTTCAGTCATCATACTTCAAGGAGTTAATTTCTAAGGACAATTAAACATAAGTAAATTGGTGGTGATGACTTATCCTTTGCAGCTGGGAGAAAAAAAAAAAGCAACTGATGGTCCTTTTAGACAACCAGACACTCAAGATTAAGACTCCTTAAGAAATAATAGCAGGTGAGGAGACACATTTTTTAAAGGTATGATACATAACAGAGAGTGGTAAAAGTGATAAGTTGAAGTCATTTCAGGGGCAGAAAGTGAAGTGGAGAAACTGACACGTGCCCGAGGCCTCAGATGCATTTAGACTCAGGTCGAATCCAGGCAGGACCTAAAGTTTCCTCAAGTACACTGAGACTGGGAATTCGAATGTGTAAACGAAGAACCTGGCTTAGAGGGCTCTCACGGGCCTCCACTTGAGAGAGACTGATGTTAGGACATTAGGAAGCACTATAGGAATCTTGCAAAAAGCCAAGTTTTCTGCAGGACCTCTTCCTTACACTGCCAGAAACAAGATATGAAATTGAATGTTTCTATTTTTATGCTAAAATGGAAACAGAGGTGGGAAGGATACAAGAAATCCATCATGCAAAAGAAATAGTTTTTGTTTTAAATTTCAAACCCAACAGAAATTCTAGCCCTCCAAGGATATTATGAGGCTGTAACCTTAGCCCTCTACTTACCTGACCTTTAGCAGCAGGGAGCAGGCAGCAGCAAATAGGCCTTGGAAGTCTACTTCCTAAATCAGTCTCATTCCCTCCAACTTCTGCCCTTCCTGTGAATTATTACACCACCTGGCACCAGGAATATTATTGACTCTGGAGCAGAGAGCTTAATTTTGCAATAAATTTTACAGATTGCTAACTGAAAAACAAGAACAAAAATGAACTACTAGGTAGTTGAAACCGCTGAGTCTCGCTGCTCCTTCCTGCCCTTGGGTAATTTATGGCAGCAGAGCTGGGCTCCCACACTGCGGCTGTCACTTTGGCGTGGCTGCTCTGCTCACCCCGGTGGGGCAGCCGGCCAAGGAGGAAGCCATGCTGCCTGCTCTGTGGATTGCAAACCACACTGCGCATGCTGGAGTTCCCACAGCCACCCCTGCTCCCGGGGCCTCAGAGGTAAGAATTCGAGGGAAAGTTGGGGCGCACTCGTGATATTTGATGGAAAGAGAGCAGAGGGGAAAACTGCTTCACAATACATTCATTCCATCTCTGCTTTGCTTTTTTCAGTTCCACCAGTATGTTGGGAATTTCATTCTGTCTCTTCTTGCGTTCTGTTCAAGTTAAATTTGTGGGACATTGACCCTCGGAAGGCTAAGCTGCTGCTCTGGAGGTGAAGAGGTGTGTAAGGCAGGACAACGGGTTGTATCGGTTCTCGATGTGAAGAAAACCGCTCCAGAGCATTGCCCAGGAATTAGCTATGTGCCTAAACTACAGTCTGACTTTAGGATGATTTGATTCTGTGGCAAATATCTTCCCTCCCTCCAACAGGTTAGCTCAGACATGTCTGCCCATAGTAACAGGAGTCCAACAATCAAAAGACACAAGCACTCTCTAGCCTCTGCTGAAATCAACCTTCCTGTTATTCCACTTGTCAAAATATGACACATAGCGAAGCCCATACAGGAGGCCACTACGAAGCAAGTAGATAGAGAGAGATGCAAAAACGTGAAGTCCTTAGTGCAGCTCAGTCCAGCACTGTAAGAGAAGTACAGCCCAGCAGTGGCAGAAGCTGGAATTAGAGCAACAAGGAAATAATGGAGAAGCAGCTCCTGAGGCTTGGCCGGGTGGGCAGTGGAACTTCTCCTGCAGACTAGGATTTGAAGGGTGAGTGGCAGAATATGCAGGAATTTTGCATGGAGCGTGGTGTACAGACGGAGAAGTAGGTGTCCATCATGTGGAACAATATGCCCCCGGGACAATGTGCTTACCAGGGTGACCCCCTGGAAACAGCCTCTTCCCTTTCCATGCCATGGCATGACTTGTCCTCCTTCCATTCCTCTTCTTCCTCCTGGGCGTCTTTTTACTTTGACCTCTTTTATATATTTATGACTTTAGTTGGTCACCACCCTCCAGGGCCGACCTGGCACAGTATTGATTATTCTTAAACCTCTCTTTCCTTCCTATCATCACCTCCAACCCCAGTTTATACTTCTCCATGCCTCCGGGATAGTTTCCTGTGGCCACATCCCAAGGACTCTTCACGTTCATTATCCTTCCCACCATCTGGTTTACCCCCCCAGAGGTCACAGTGGCAATTATTGGCACCAAAGTCTGGTGTGTCAGCCAGCCAGGAACACGAGCCCTGTTTGTCTCCCCACCCCTCTGTCTCCCATTGTACCTGCCAGCTCCAGGTCCTGCTGACTTTGACCTATAAGCATTTTTCAGTTCACTCCTCTCCTTTTTAGTGACTGCACCCCAACCTTCCCCCACTCCAGCCAGATCTTTATCATCTGAAATGACCACCACAGCCCCAACTGTTCTTCCCTTCACAAATCCAGCACACGCTCGACTTTGGTATAATTTATCTGAAATGCAAATTAGATCTACAAATCTTCTGCCTAAATCATTTTGTGATTTCTCATTAGCTATTTCACTATCACAAGATCCAGGGGCACCTTCAGGAAATTGCTCCACAGATTGTGGTATTCTTTTTTCCTTTTCTCAAAATAAGTCCTATACCCTGGGAATGAAATCTGTGTTCAGGAAGACACGCTGGGTTTACTGTATTTCTCCTTGATCCCAGGAGTTTAATATTTCCTACCCTCTATGCCTTTGTGTCCCCTTTTATGATGTTGTGTTTCTTCATTAAGACATTGCATCTTTGTGACTACCAGGTTACGTATTTAAAAATTACTCCTTTGGAAATAGGAAATTTTACTTTGGGTGATTATTGGTTGGGATGGCATCAGTCATCACAGATCACACAGAAATAAACACTGTGCTTTTCTCAAAGCTGTGAGGCAAAGCCAATCATAGAATATTTTTCTGAGAGTTATTCCATGCACTACCCCCAACTCCCTCATTGGGAAGAAGATGAGGTCAAAGCACTAAATCATAGAAAGAAAAAAAGTCTCCCCTATAAATCTTGCCATATAAGACATATAATAAGAGAGTTTATGGTAAACTCCATACTTACATCCAGCAGATACGCATAAATATATTTCAGAGAAGAAAACCCAAGAAATCTAAATTACAGACTTAATGATCAAATTGTGCATTTTTGTGTGAGCATTTTAGAATATGCTATGGATGCTCCATTTTTATACAATCCTTAAATCTTTTAGGAGGAAGTAAGGGCCTAGGAAATCTTGCCTAAATTAAATTTGGGGAAATTCAAACATCTACTCAGTTTTACTTATTTATTCTTTTTTAGATCTGTGCTGTTACTTAGGAAATGTGGCTGGTGACATTTTTTTTCCAAGTTCGTCTTCACCGAGAAAATTATTTGAGCTGTAGTCTAGTCACTGTCATCAGCTACTAGCCACATATACCTATTTAAATTAAATTGATTAAAATAAAATTTTAAATTCAGTTCTTTCATAAAACCAACTAAGTTTCAGGGACCATAGTAAGCACACCTGGTGAGGTACGCTTGTAGCCCCTATTAATGCAGATAGAGCACACACCCTTCCTGGGAGAATCTGTAGCAGGCAGCTCTTCCGTAGAAGATGTTCCTAGATACAAAGCGGGAAATGAAGACAATGGATCACTGCCTTTGTCTCTAGAAGAAAGGTATAAGTGCATGCTCTCTTTACACCACTTACTAAAGTTTTGAGCAAGGTTATAAATCTTTTTGGAGCCACTGAGGTGTGGGAGAAGATAGGCTGTTAGCTTGAGGTTTTGACCCTATTACAGGAAATGGGAGTTACTGCCTGCCACATCTGGAAAACAAATTGGTCTTGGGGACACCATTTTGATTCCACTTAGAGGCCTCTTTCACTGCTCTGCATTGAATAAATTGAAGAAATAATGTCCAACACATTATCAACTTCTAAAATATTCCTAGATCCATATTTATGGCTATCAGCATTCCTAAATATTGTTATAACTTAATTCACCAGGAGAACTAGTAGAATAAGCAAACAGCTTTAAGACATAAAGTATTCAAGCCTCCCAAGTGACTAATACAACCTTCAAATAGGTTATCTTTCAAGATTTAAAATATTCAGAATTCATTGATTCATAACATTGATTAAATGTCTAAGTATACAACTATTTTTAACAAAGAAAGAAAGAATAACCATTGTTTCAAATGTTTATGCAAGCTACAGCAAAGTACATATATGCAATGTGTGTATAGGGTGCGCTTCAAATGTTTAAACAATGCCTTTCATAAATGTGTGTATAAAGTCAGAAAAAAGTAGCCCCATATTTCAGGCACTAACTAGCCCATTTCAGCTCAAATATTCATTTTCTCCTAAATTTCTTACTTCTTAAATTTGTTTAACTGAGTATCTCCTTGTATTTTTGCCTTAAATTCGACAAGTGTTTCAGTTTCTGAGGAACGATTATGCATTATTCTCTCACAATATGATTGCAATTACTCTTACTTGGAAAGGCACCAAGGGCTCTAGCTGAGCATCTGGGGAGGTCACTGTCCTAGCTACTCATGACAGTATGTGCTGTAGGATGGTGCATCCCTCCCCCAGCGAGGGCACTGCCAGTCCTCACAGGGTTCAGAAACACAGCCATGGTAGCAGAGAGGACAAGCCAGGGAACTTGCCGCTGAGACTAGGGATTCACCAATATCCCCCGCCAGGCACTGTTCGCCAAAGTGCCCAGCAAAACTGTTCAGCGCCCAAGCTTGTGCTGCAGTGATCAGCGACAGGAACAGCTCCAAGTGCAGGAGCCAGCTCACATCCAGCTATACTCAACCCAGACTTCCTAACGGTATCACATCATAAAACCATCGCCCATCTGGCACACATTTAAGGCCAAGTTGGCAGTATTTGATATGAAAAAGAAACCAAAGACTGAATTAGTATCCCACAAGGTTGTTTTTGCAAGTCATAGACATAGTGCAGAGGCATGTGGAGCGCAGGCCACAAGACGCCCACGAACCTTTCCTTAAATGAAAGCTGGCCGGCTTAGGGCAATGAACTCCTGGAAAAAGCGAGCCAGCAAACAAACAGAAAACTCACAAAAACAACAACCCAAACCCTCTACTTTGTTGCCTTAATTTTTTCTTCTCCCAGGAAAGATCTGGTTACCTGAGGATTTTTTTTTGGGGGGGGGGGGGTGTAAAGCAGTACCTGGACCGTTCTTCAAATGGAAACCTAAATTAGGAAAAGGATCTCTCCCCTTCTTTAACCTGTAATTTTAAGTCACTTTTATGGCCAGCTTCCAGGGTGAGCAAGGTCTCATTTCTTCAAGTCTGGAATGTCTAGGGGAAACCCAGCTTTCAGAACACATTGTTGTGAACCAGAATACACAATGATCATCGACAAAGAGGATTCTAGCATTTCCCACTCTGGAGTGTGATGTTCTAGAAAATGAAGTGATTGGAAAGTTGCTTTGGAGGAAGGAAACAGGAAGGAATTGGGTGAACATGTACAAATAATTTTGAGTGATATCTAATTAATGTAGACCATGACATAACTATGTTATAGCAAGTAGAATTATTGAAGTTATGCTATTTTTGAAATCAAATTCAGGTGGTGTAGTCTGGGTCTAACACAAAATATTTATAGTCAGAACTTACCTTGAAAAATGTTGATGTGTGTGTTTCTTTGAAAGCAAATAGAGAAACCTAGAATTATTAAAAACAAAATAGGGATGAATTTTTAGCAGTTTTGCAAGTAGGAAAGTTCATTCTTTTATTTTTATTTTTACTTTTTTAGAGTAGAATATATTTATTGAGGAAAGAAAGCTTCTATCTGAAGATAGATAAAAGGGGTCCCCTAACGGGTTGCCCCAGGAAAGGTCAGATACAATAT